TTTTTATAGAAGCAAACCAATAATAATATTTCATTCCTCTTACCGGATAAGTGTCAGCAGGTTTTCCAGTATTTTCTTTGTAGATACTGATGAGTATTTCCCTCGCTTGATCATATTTCTTCTGCGTCACCAAATACTTGGGGCTTTCAGGTAGCCAGAACACGTACATTATAAATGCTGCTAACGCCCATAGAGACATCAAGTATAGGTAGAAGTTCCATGTGTTTAGTACTGTAAAATAATGAAATAGTACATGAATTTTTAAAAAGAAAATAAATTATCTACGGATGACTGAAGGAACAGCTGGCATTGGGGCTTGTACTGTAAACTGCGATGCGATGCGAATTGCTGCGATGCGATTTCGTGCAACAAGGCGTCTCCCAAGGTGACCAATGACCATTCCTTGAAGGACCGTTAATCGTACTAAACGTATTTAAAATTGAAAAATAGGTCGTGTAGTTACGAGCTCTAATTCAGTGGTCGAAAACTTAACGAATAATATGACTTGGCCCAATCTAATAATGGATCAACTGTATCTTACGCACATCTATCACCTAAATGAGTAAATTACGCAGCGTATAGTTCCAGACGCCTTGAAACTAAAGAAAAATCCAAGTCAAAATCTAATCGCACTTTGCCTTAAGAATGCTGGACCATTTAACACGTTGAACGCCATGCGGGTCAATGGTGACCAGCGTTATGGGAATTTATCTTCAACTATTTTTAGGCGACAATTAAAACCTTTATGTTCTTTAACACACAAAGAAACAGCATTTAAAAAACACTAAAACAAAACCTCCTTTGTCACTAACAAATCGAATATCACAATCAGTAGCGCCGCTAACCACGAAGGTCGTAAAACAAAATGTCTGCCGCTCCAAAAGTCAAGTGAGCCAGCACAATTACTGGGGAAATTCTAAAAGGTTGACGGAAATCCCTTTTTTAAGTTCAGCCCTTTGTTGTGGGGATTTATTGTGGAGATTCTAAGCAAACATGCTTACTGACTTAACCTGAAGTGTGTTACATCGGTACTTTTAGGCTTAGGCCCGTGTTAGGCGTTGAAAAATAGACCTATATAGGATTAATGTCAGATGAAAGGACGTTCGCTTTTATCTCAAGTGTTTTCTTTTTAACAATAGGATGGTTTTTTATTGAATTGTTTCGTTAAAAGGTTTGTTTTGGGTTATAAATATTGTTATTACGTAACGTTGGAGCGAGTAACTATAAAATCAACGAAATTAAGTAAATTAACACTACCTTTTCGTTTACAATTTAGGCAGGCAAGTAATTAAGACTAAGTCATTTGATCGAGTGATTGCCAGCGGTCCTGTCAATTAAGAGGTCTTAGTTTGATTCCCATCTCAGATATAATATTAAAAACTTGGGATATCAGCATTTTTGGAAATATTACGTATCTAATATTTTAAAATAATCTACAAGACAGTTTGGAAAAGTATAATTATTTTCTCAACTAATATTAACATTAAAAATTCTTCGTTTAAATTTATTTAACTCACCGAATTTTCCACCAAAGAAGGAGTACTTCCAATCATTAGTCAATATGCCCCAAGACATAGCAGCTATAATAACATGAGATACAGCTATGAAAGAAGACTGGCATAACAGCATACGATCTCTTATACTGGAGTAAGAGAACTCCGCAGTTAGAGAGACACAGGCACTGAACGCTGTTGCATATCTGAAAGGTAAAGAAATAATCATTATCTAGTTTTACAGAAGGCCTAATGGGTTGCCGGGGCTCTGGCTCGAATTGCAGAAGTAGGAACGGGGTGGTTTTTAGTCAGTAAGAGTCTGACAGGCGAGAGGGCGCCTCACCCAAGGCGGGAGAATTAAAATTGTGACGTCACGTAAAGTTATAACATATAAAGTCCTATTTCCTACTTCCACTAAAAATCAATTTCAAAAATCTAAAACTATATTGAGTCGTGCCTTCAAAACCACACACGGACGATAATAGTAGCAGTCTTGTGTTCATATGACAACCGGGACCGACGGCTTTACGTGTTCATCGAGGCACGAATACTCTCGATTTGTTACGAAATCGATCGATTCTTGGGGCTGATATCGAGTGAATTCTGCTATATATTGTACATTTATGGCATGAGAGTAGTTTTAGAACTGAGCTTCTTATGGGAAAGGTTTATGGTGCGCTTGTCAAGCGTAAGGATGGGGGTTTAGCACTTTGTGCACAAGTAGGTATGTACGTTAAAAGTTATATAATTAAGAATTATGATTTTATGAAAAAAATTCATAGTTTAGACTGCGTCGCTAGCAGAGTGGTCGAAAGTGCGACGGTCATGGGTTCGATTCCCGGTTCGGGCAAAGTGTTACTAGTTTTTTTTGTAATTCCAGTAGTAGTATTCCAGTAGTAGCACGCAGTCTGGAATTGTGCCCGCAGCATACGGCAGCAAGCCCACTCCCATCACATGGGACTCAACATAAATAGTTAAAAGTGGGTGTTACATTGTACAGTGATATTAAGGACCGTAATGTGCACCTCTGCCTATCCCTTCGGGGATAAAAGACGTGATGTTATGATGGTGATGATTTCCCAATAATCATCACCATCATAACATCACGCCTTGTGTCCGGTTTTGGGTTCAGTTTTGATAGACTTTCATTTATACCCACTAGATCTTCGAATAAATTTCGAGTTTTACAGACCACTAATAGTTGTGTACTAACAGAACCTTTAAACAAAGGGCCCCATTTTGAGTTCGGTTTTGTACAACGTTAATTTATTTTAAATCTTCAAATATATTTTTACGAACTACAATAGTTTTAAACTAACAGAATTCTTATACAAAGATTTTTGTTTTACCATCAATTTTAATTACAAACTGCGATACAAAATCCAGAAAATTCTATTGTGACGGAATAATTACGGCAAGCTTAAAACAGTATTCTTTTGTCTTAGAACAATGCTTAGAATTCCAAGTCTGACTTCACAGGAAAAAAGTAAAGAAAAAATATCGTACAAAAGTTCGAGACATGACTAAGAATAATTTAGACTAGACATTAATTTTATAAGCACAAAAGAAAAGCTTTTAGACCTAAAATATTACGTTTTTGTCTAAATTAAATTAGTTTGTGCGTTCTCGAAGTAAAATGCAATTAAAATGTTCATTTGTTGGTTTTGATCAAAACAAAAAAGGCGTCCAAAATGTGAAGTCTGTTTTGAAAATGAAAATAGACAAACCACTATTCATCCTCTTTCTGCAATGAGCCTCATTATGGGCTTAAGAAATAGGTCGGTATGTTCTTTCACGATTTGTTATTCTATGATCAATTTGTATCTAATAAATATTAAACGGAACTAACGTATTAATAAAAATAACTAAATATTTTCCAATACCAGTTTTACCATGAATCGTGAATTAGGTTTTACGTAATTCCTTTATTTTATTGATTTATTTTCAGCCATGATCGTCCCACTGCAGGGCAAAGGCCTCCTTACCCTCCTTCCACTCCTCTCTATGTAGATGTCTAATTCGTCCCGCCATCTCCTTTTGGGGATGATAATAATAACGTAATTCCTTGTCTAATAAAAATTTACATGTTAACAAAATAACCACAGCAGCACATAAGCACACCACTAAAACAAAAAAAAAGAACAAATTAAAACAAAATTTCACTCACAGTAATCCCTCAAAAAACTTCGCTGTAGCGAGAACTTCAAATGTCTGGCTGGAACCGCCAATTAGTTGAAATATAAAAAGTCCAATGAATCCGACTCCCAGAAATATCTTTCTACCAAAAGCATCAGTTAGGAAACCGGCCACCACAGATGATATCAACATTCCTGTGAACAAATTCATTTGGTATTCATAGAAAAGTTAATTTTATTGGTCGTCTTATTGCCTATAAAGTGTAGACAATCGGCCTAGGCAATAATCCAGATTAAGGTCAAATGAAACAGCATACGAGATAAATTATAACATCATCATGGCCTTATGCTTTGGGGTGGCCAGAAGTAACACGTTAAAGTTCAATTTTCTTGTCATATCTCAAATTTCGTACTGTAACAAGAAGCATAGACCTAGCAGTTTAGCTTCAAGCAAACACCTTTTTATAGAATAGTAGATAGTATTTTTTTAAGGGGGGAAAAGCATCAAATGACTGCTCCCGCCTGGGTGAGGCGGGAGGGAGTGTCAGACTCTTACTAACTAAAAACCACCCCGTTCCTTCTCCTGCACGTCGAGCCGGAGCCCCTGTTACCCGTTAGGTTCTCCGCGACATAGTAGATAGTATATTATGAGCCTTTTGTGTAACACTGAATGGATGTTTAGAGTTTAATAATAATAAACATCTATAATGTTTTTGCTGACCTAGAAATCAAAACCTCACGATAGCTTGATTTTAAATAACTCTTTCATGTACCACCACGTATTAAATTGCATCCATGCCGACCTATCGCACACTTTTAGACTCCTAACACCGAAAAACCATTTTTTCAATCGAGTTTCTTTTAAAATCGTCTATACTAGTGCAAGTACTACTCCATTCGATACTTCAACCTTCATAATATCATGCATTCGAATCGATCGCAATAGTTAGCTTCGGTTCGCTGCCATTTCTTGTCATATATTTACGTCCAGGTGTTACTTTTCCATTAGCCCGCATAACTCTTGGTGCTATAAATTTGACCTGTTCCTTGACATAAGTGATGTGTTCAGCATTATAAGAAATAATTTCTAATATAACCCTGTCTTTGACTTTCAAGACTTTCTTTTTCATATTTTGTAGGAAAAATAATGCATTTTGGTCAACTTTTTATGAATGTTTAGTTTGTTTGACTGTTGATTATGAGTTTTGGGGTCTTGAGATCTAGGGGACTTGAGGTCTTGATTTTAGAATTATAGCTGTTACCCTTACCTAGCTGTTACCGACTTCGTTCGCATGAAATTATTCATATTTCTTGTTAATTTATACTTTTTTGACGCAACAACGTGTTGATTGATTGGCGAGGCGTATTTGAGACCTAATATGGAATGGAACGTTTATTATTTACTCAAGATGGCGACTAATTATAGTGATTGATTTCAAGAGTTTAAACTTTAAATTATTATTAACTAGTAGTATAGGGCTTGTAGTTCAACACTAATTATAATATAGCTATAGATTAAAAAAATAACAAAACTATCTATTTAAAGTTTGTTTCTTAAAAAACAAAAAGAATTCAAGCAATCTTACCCACATACGGCATGGCATTCAGCAATCCTTTTTGCAGTAAATCCATTTTCAGGTCACATTCTGCGCTAGGCAGTAAATAGGCTGTCGTAGAACTAGCCAGAATTCCAGCCATAAAACCGACGAAGGCTGTAGATAGCAGCTTTATATGGAACCTTCCGAAAGTACAAGCCACTAAGGCTGCATCAATTTCTTTCATCGGAGCTTTCCATTCATCTCGAGCTTTGGCTGGAAATGAAACATATGTCAGTGTTGAGTCAGATAAACACGTATGTATATGAAACAAGGTGACAAAGTGTTAGTTTGTTCGTTGTAAAGGTTATAGGTACAAGTAAAACTTTCTTTCTTTACTTTTTTTTTAAAAATACGTTGCCCCACACTTGGTTTTCTCCTGTGTCGTGGGTGCGTTTACAAACATACAAGTTCACATACACATGAAACCCAGACCCGGAACAACAATTTGTGGATCACACAAAGTGTTGTTCCGTGCGAGAATCGAACCCGCGACACGTTGCACGGCAGCCGGTTGCCCAGCCACCGTAACTACAAACCGTAACTACAAAAAAATTGATTTTTAAGTCAAACCTTCTCTTATTATTAGTAGGTACTTTTCATAGCGTAGAAGTAAAACCATTGGAAAAAACTAGTCAATCCATCAAATGTAATGTAAAGGTCAAAATATGACCATAATTACAAGTTATGAAATTACATCAGGCCTGTAATTGTGTGTAATTATACAGTCCTTGAACTATTTCATAATTTCAGTAATATTGTTGTAATTTGAACCTACATTTAGTTGAAGGCAAAAAACAATGTTTGGTTTGTAACCATGTTTATGAGTCATTGAGTTTGTGTCTGCATAAAATCCAAATTACTTTACGCGTGATGATAAGTCAGTCAATAAGTACATATTACATTACTTTCATTTTAGTTCCTCCTTTCAACTTAAAAGTAATCGTACGTAACAAAACATCACGCCTTTTATCCTCGAAGGGGTAGGCAGAGGTACACAAAGCAGTAACACCCACTTTTCACTATTTATGTTATGTAATAGGGGTAAGCCTATTGCCTTATACCGGGCATAATTCCAGACTCCGTGCTACTACTGAGATTTTTTTTGAAACCCAGTAATACTTTGCCCGACCCGAATCGAACCCAAGACTCCTTGCCCGGCAGTCGCACTTGCGACCACTCGGGCAACGAGATAAATTATAATCATTCTTCAAAAAATATGTATCTATTAACTTGTCGAGTACCGATTTTGTAGACACAATTATAGAACAATAGGTTGCGGTCACCGGTGACCGCTTGGTGTTTGACAGTTTAACTCGTCGAGTACCGGTTTTGTAGACACAATTATAGAACAATAGGTTGCGGTCACCGGTGACCGCTTGGTGTTTGACAGTTTAACTCATGAAAATCATTATTATAATACACTTTTAATTTACACTACAAAGTTTATTTGTTATATTTATTTACTACGATATGAAAGTTTATTTATCACGATTTTATAATACCTATCATGTACGATATTAAAAAGGATCATTATACTAATGTGGACAACCCTAAACTAAAGAGACCAAAAAGTCGTAACCCAAATTGGATAGGCTGAGCCATTAAATCGAAGATCTTTCTGTAATCACCATCCATCTTCGACAATAACCTAGTTTATGTAGTACCGATAGAACTATTACCTACAATATTGGTTTTAGTCCATCTATTGTTAAAGGTTAATCTAGATTTAGGCCCATCTCACTCATGAACTGATTCATTGATCAGTCATGATTAATTAATAATACGAATTTTAAGCGAACTTTTATTACAATACATAGGTGTTTTATTCTAATTAAATCAGTATTATTATAATTATTATTTTTTGTTGCCATCTTCAACCTTTCCATTTATACTAATATTGTAAAGCTGAAGAGTTTGTTTTTTTTTTTGAACTAGCGCGTTCGATCTAGCTATCTCCGAAACTACTGGTCCGATTTGAAAAAATATTTCTGTGTTGTACGTTCACGTCCACAGTAACGTTGAGGTTGCGAGACATATCAACCAAAGTCCGGCAACGTCGCGTTACTTCATCCTACGTCACTGATGACACGTTCCGCAGGAGATTTGTGTGTGTAATGTATCCTTGACTTTATCCTATCGTGCTAATCCTACATAGTATAAAACAAAATCGCTATTCGCCGTCTGTCTGCCCCTATGTATGCTTAGATCTTTGAAACTACGCAACGGATTTTGATGCGGTTTTTTTAATAGATAGAATTATTCTTAAGGAAAGTTTATACGTATAATACATGCATGTTGCACCCGTGCGAAGTCGGGGTGGGTCGCTAGTATTATTTGTTACTTCTTCACATCAAAACGACTGAAGAAATCGAAATGAAATTTGGAACAGGGTAGATTAAGGTCTGGTATACCACATGGGCTACTTTTTATTATGCCCCGGGCACGCCAGCGAACCCGCGGGCAGAAGATAGTATAGCAATATTTACTATAGCAGCATATTATATAATAAAGTAGATATTAGAAGCCCAATGATTTAGTTTATGTTTAGTTAGGGATACCAATATGTCGAACCGATAACCAAGATCAAGCAATATCCACACAAAACGTCAAAAGGTTTCATGAAACTATATCGACGAGTAATTCTGTGTCAATATAAGAAAACATTATGAAAGATTGTATTTCTGAGAACAACTAAAGATAAGAAGCAAACAAGAAACGAAAGAAATAACTGATACCAATATTTTTCTTGTTATATTCAATGTAGGATGAAATCTTCCTTCATTATACTATCGTTATTGTCCCGACCAACTTAAATAGTAAATATTTTAAAATCGAACTTTAGCCTCAACAAAGGAATTCCCATTAAAATTCTGTGTTTAAGTTTAATTAAGAAAGAGGGATTAGCTTCTGCGAGGGGAGCCTACTTATGTATTTTATGATTAAAATTTATTTTAATGGATTCATTTTGTGTCATATTCTGGTTGCGAGTTCAGAACATGGAAGATTACTGTAACAATTTGGAACATCACGAAATAGATCCGTATTATTTTAACCGTCACATACACAGTTGACTCACTTTTCTAGTAATCGAGAAGTAATGTAAAAACCCAGGTAGCGTACCCATTAACGAATAACAGACCACAAGTACGCAAACATTTTTCAAAATCCAAGACGAAAAAAGTTTTAATTCGATTCATAAATCACTTCATAATACTTAAAAAAAAAAACTCTCATCGAGCTGATAAAAAACATAAATCTCAAATGTCAAGATGACGTCCAGATTAGCAAGTAACACAAAAAAGTTTTGAGGAAATTTTTAATAGGCAATAAAATAAAACATTGGAAAATCTCGGAAGCAGCAGACAATGGACTGGTTGTGTTGTCTTACTTCGAACATGAATAAGGCGATCTCGCCCCAGTTCCACAAAACACTGAACGCATTGATAGAAGCGTTAATCAAGCCCGAAACTTTGAAACGAGACTTGTTCTTCGCAGTCCTACTTATTGTGATCAAAGAAAATGATTTTGTGCTCAAGGGAAACAGAGAAATTGACGTTTTAGATTACATATTATCTAGAAAAAGTGATTGTGGAAAAGTTCATCAAATATTTGTTGTTTTGAATCGTTTTGAGGGATGTCCAGTGAATGTAATAGTGTGTCCTTTAAATGATACAATGTTGGTTAATGCCTTTATTGACGCTACTAAGGAGACTCATTCGTTGTGTGTGCCCATTGATGAGTATATGGAAACATCTTCCTTGGGTATTCCGTCCAGTTTTCGCCAATTACCTGACTTGGTAGCTTCTTTGAGAGAGAAAATTGTGATTCCAATGAAGGCTAGTGTCCTGAATTTCCACAGCCTGCCTAGTTGTAGTTTACAAGGTCTGCCTAATGATGCGTTGTATCAAATCCTATTAAGTTTATCTCTCAACGATATTCTGAATGTAGCAAAATCATGCAAAAAGTTGAGTCAGGTTGTGAAGGATGAAACCGTCTGGTCTCGTCTTTTTAGAAGAGATTTTCCTAGGATGAGAAATAATAAAGAAGCTGATTGGCGCAACCTCTACAAGAAGGCGTATGTGAAGAAAAATAAAAGGAATGATAAAAAACCAAACTGTGATCGATGTTATGCTATGGATCAAATTACTGAGTGGCCCGCTTTTGTGCCCGTGAAAGATTCTCGATTTGAGATCATTTTGTAATAATGAAATTTTTGGTGTAAAGTTTGGTGTCGAAAAATTAAATGATATTTTCTTGCTGTAATTAAGTTCAATTAAAACTCAGCTTGAGAACATTGGTCAGTAGATTCAAATTAATATTAGTCATAGACCATCAACTTATAAGTCATAGACCTTTGACCTGCAATGGGACATTCATGGCTGAAAATAAATTAGGTCATAGCCATTGGTTCTTTTTCATGGAAAAGGAGGCAAACAGAACATATGGCTCACCTGATGGTAACCGATCAGCGCTGCCCATGGACACCCAAAACACCAGAGACGTCACAGGTGAGTTGCCGGTTCAATTACAAGAATAGATTATTAAAGTACAATAACTCCAACGCAGAATTTGAAATCTACATGAGTTTTGTCTGTAGTTGTAGTTAGTTTAGTGACTAAATTCATAGTTTATTGTACTTGTGACCAAATTAAAGTCACCTCACTGTTCAATGGGTTGAATGTTCAGCCACGTGCAAAGGAATAGATAAGCCACAACGTTTTGTTTAAATATTTTTTATTTAAATGTAGTATTCAAAGGTTTGTTGTTTTAAAAATGGCCACAAAATGTTCTATGCTTTTTCTATTTGTATCACTTCACAGTCTCAGTCTCAAAAGACTCGTCTGTGGGTTCGAATTTTAATTAATTTTCAGTTCAAAATTTTCGGCGTTAGTACTTTTATACTATTATTTGACATTGGTTACAGTAGTCTAAGTACGCCAGTTACCTACACCAGCAGCTGTAGCCAAATGCCATTTAGCGCTTGTCTACTTGTAGAGTAGAAAACTAAATTATATGGGATTGACGTAAATTTTGACTCATGTCAGTGTGTTTGTGTGTTTGAGTCTTGTCAAAGTGGCGTTTGGCTAAAAGTACAGCGCCTTTAGCCAACTTTAGCGCTTGTCTACAGAGAGAGTAGAAATCAAAATGTATGAGGATGACACTGACAAGTTACGTCAATTACATATAATTTGGTTTTCTATTCTACATGTAGA